GACTTATAGTCTCTACCATTCTAACCTCTCTTCACTGTGAAATGAGAGGTAGTATTAAACTGTATTGTGCTGCAAATGGTAGCCCTTCTAAAGAGGGATTATGAGACAATGAAAGTCCTGTGTGGGGAAACACAAATACTGCCAACGAACGGCACACCAATTGGCTCAGCCAGTACCATCTTCTTTGGGATACAGATTGCATCCTTCCTACTTCTGCTGAGTGCTACCCTACTATATGAAAAGCCCCAGTACAACGATTATAGACTCTAGAAGAGGTAGAAAGACTCGTCTTCTATGGATGGCTTCCATGGATGCAAGTTTCTATTTCTCCTCTACCCTCAATTTACCATACTACAAAGCAGTAATAGTTCACAATGCAATATATTTGGATACCAAACCAGGTGACACATCTACTGCCAGAAAAGTAACAAATCTGTAATGCATTACATTATTCCTTCAATGTTTTAAACAGATAAAAACAACAATAAAAAAATCTGCCAAGGAAATCCACAGTTCTAATTGTATACCATCTGTAGCGCTTTAGACTAAAAATGTTCCACAGCTGTCATTTTCAAAATTAGCATTTCAATTAAAAAAAAAACAAACTCATTCTGTTGATCCTAGGCACAAGTGGATCTGATTGATCCTTACCCACAAGAACAATCCCAGTGAAACAGGTAAATGCATTTGTATGAATAAGGACTCAAACCTCAGGCCTTAATGAAAACATAGATACTGAAAAAAATAAAATGATCGTCTGAGAATTAAGTCAGAAATTTTGACCAACATTTATTTTATAAACACAATGCAGTTAATATAGTTGAATACTCCTGAGTTCATATCTAATACACAGTACTCTACAGAACTGCAGGAAAAGCATTAACACATTGAAAGCTATTCCACTTTTTACAAAATGCATTGTGTTTGCCTATGGTTCATACTTGTCAGCGCATTTTTGAATCACAAATTCTTCCTATCATCTGGTTTAATGATAACACATTCTTTTAAAGTTAGCTTACATTTGAAAAACAGATTCATTAAATCCCTCAGTTCCACATTCAAAGGAACTATTAAACTAATCATAGCGCTAAAAAGATGGGCATTAAAAATGTTATGAGCAGCATTTAGGCACCTCCATCCAAAATGGTAGCCCTCACGGCCCCTGTCTCAGCCTTGAGGTGTCTATTCTCTAAACACAATACCGTTTTCTTTAGTAAGATTTGCCAGACACAGGAGTTCTCAAAACAAGCCTAACAGCCACCAGCCAGGCTGGGTTCCCTATCACATTTTTCGGGTGCTATTTCTTCATAAAACAGTATATTAAGAGCAGTCATTCCTAGCCTCGTAAGAAGGACCGCACATCCCAGAAGCAAAACACCCAGGTTCAATTCCTTCTTCAGTCTAAGATTCAAAGCAACATCTTTTAGAAGAACGTTCTAATCACTAGGCCACAGGCTGTGTGAAACGCTGCGACGAGGATAAGGGTATATTAAAACCTTCCTGTTGAAACTATATCATTGAACAGAAAATAATTCAAGATTCATTGGGCCAGAGAAAGAACACAAGAGGGAGCAAGAGTCTGTAGCCTAGTGATTTGGGCACTCAGCTGGGAAAATGAGTCCTGGGTTCCCAGCCTTTGCTCCAAAGAAGGTTTATGCAATTTATCTAACAGCCTTTTCATAATATAAGTCCTGTCTTGAATCTGTCTATAAGTTTTCCTTCTGGATCCACATTCATAAATAACATTTAGGGGAATAACAGCCATATTTAATGATCTGAATTACCCAAATATCGATATGCCTTCTGTATGATTTTAACGCTAAATTGAAAATATAGATCATGCCAAAAAACTTAAAAGCTTATTTCATATTAAAATTACTTTAGAACTTACTTGAAAACAAGTAAAACATAATATTTAAACACAAATGCATTTATTTACCTGTGTCAATAACGCTACTTTGAATTACAAAGGCAGAACTGGTTTTTTTTCTTCTAATCTTTCTTAGTATGTAGTAGCCTTTCATTTTTAAAAAGTTTAACAACAATAATAGACTTCTCGAATCTTAATTTGGGTCAGTTTCAGTTTCTGATTCTCACTTAATAGTATTTTCATTTTCTGGTTCTCATTCCCTAGCACAACAGCGCAATGTCATGCAGGCGACTGTTTAAATCCAAGCAAGTTTACCCTGAAATTCCCACTTCAACAATTTCATGGACGTATTTCTGTTTTTGCTAAACATTCTTTTCATAATAGCTTCATTTTGGGCCTAAGCCTACATAACAGTGTCCCTTTAAATAATATTCCATGCCTTGAAACATATTACAAAAACTGTTATATCAAGGCAAGTTATGTAACAGCTCTCCATGGTTTTAGCATATTTACTCTGTCACGCCATATGTGAGACTGCAGCCTCCACAACAAAACCTTTACACACTGAAGTCATTATCTCTGTGAAGTCTGCAACTGGCATTTAAAACTTATTGATGGCCTGGGTATTGGTGGCTCAGTAGGCAGCACTCTTGCCGGAGGCCCAGAAGGTCACAGGTTCACATTCTGCTCCAAGAACAAGTTGGACATTTTCCAGGAGCGTGTGTGGGCTGTGCTAGACTCCTAAAGGGGCAGTCCTTAGGACAGTAAGCAAAACTCTGTCTGTTTTGTGGATATCAAAGTCCTCTTGGAAAGGGAAGAGGAAGAATGAGGAAGAAGGACGTATAATATGCCTGAAGCAAGTGCATGAAAATGAGCGTACTTGTTGAGGACCTGCACTCAGCTGTATGCGCGAAACACAGAATGGTAAAAAATTGCAGTACACTGAACAGTTTTAAACAGGCCATTCTGGTCTTCGCGGTAAGTGTATGCACAAGAGACACGTACAAGCTGCCATGCATACGCATTATTAGCTAGTTTCTTTAATAGCAGAATGACTTTGGGTTCAATTTCACACTACAGAACTATGAAAAACATGCATGTAATTTTGGTGAGTGAGGAATCTAAACAAAAATGTTTTAACCTTGGTAAAAACTTCAGAGCATACTATATAACTACTGAAAAATCTTCAGCCAATTTTCCAATACTAGCAATATAGAGAGAGAATAATATAAATGGAGAGTCAACCTGCTCTGGTGTTAAACTTTGATACTTGAATATCCCAGATGTCTCCCTCCTCCTCTTCTTCTTTATAGACAGGTAAAGATGGATCTCTTGAAGGAACTGGGGATCACACTCTAGGCAAAGGTTGGACAGGTGATCAATGTACAGCATGAGATTTTGCCGTGGCTATGTGCCTCCAACAGTGACCGGATCATCTAGTTCGGAAAAACAATTCAAAATTGTAATATTTTATTAAAAACTTAATTAGGGAAAAATTAGCAGAAGGGAGAACAAATTATTTTTGTAACAAGGAATGCATGACAGAACTTCTTTGCATAATTATGTAGTTCTTTTTAAAAATTCATTTATTTCTTCTTTAACATTTTGTTTCAGTAACATTCTAATTTGTCAGGGGTCGGTCATTAGAGGATTTCATCCTATTTCCACGGACAGAATGTGTCCAAGTTACCGAAGACATATGAAGTTATTCTTATAAGTTTTAATTTTTTTATGTCTCTTCAACACAACTATACAAAATGTCAAGACTAGGCCTGATCCATTACTTCAATAGGCTTTGGAGTAAGCCATTGTTTATTAAGCCAAATGGGATTCTACCCTCTAGTGCACTTCACGGAGGTATTCATAAAGGTTAATGATTGTTTATGAAGATTCATCTCCCAACACTCCCTCTATTGTCAATAGACTGAAATAGCGTTTTCTAAGGGACCATTCAGAGCACCTAACATGAGACTTCTTTTTTTTTTAGCATTTATGAACACCACTCTTTATCTACCTATCTTGTAAATCATTTTTTTTTACCACCATGGAAAAACAAATAATGTCCTTCTCCCCACAAATATCCACTTGTATAACGGAGCCTTAGGTTTGGGGAAATCAACCTGTACTTAAGCAACAGCACTTACACATAGTAAAACAGATCATGAATTACAAGCATCATGACATCTATAGGGTATCACACAATTAATGTGTAAGTAATGACTTTCTTAAACAAAACAAGTTCAATGATAGCATTATTTCTGGCTTAGAAACAGAGGAATAAATAACATAATCCCAGTGCAAATTTGCAAAGAATTATGAGTTCATTTTGTCTCTAAAAGATGAAGAGAAACTATTTCAAGGAATGAAGGATGTCCTCTTAACCTGTGACAACAAATTTGTTTGTTTTTTTCTCTTCTCAGTAAGAAAGCAATTAGGTTTTTTTCCAATAAAAATATCCTTGTGCATATATAAACACTCCTAGTAATCATGTAATTACCTTACCCAATCAGATTAAATTGCTGTCAGTCGAGTTCCCAGTGCTGATTAACTTTCATGTACTCTAAATCTAAATGAAGTCTTTGGTAAAGTCACTTAGCCATTTACAAAGGTGTCTCTATGATTCTAAAAAGTATAACAGCAATATGTTATTTGCTACAGTCATCAACTATCCAAGGTCAAGGATAGATCACAGTAGACCCCTTTTATAAAGACCTAAAGAAATACAGAATTAAGCTAGGTTGCTTATTTTTGTGTTTCTTGCCATGACTACTAAATGTAATAGTAACCTTTGACCCCCACACATTAAACACTGTAATTATGTAATTAAAACTAATTATGCAATTTAACATACATATTTTTGTCCTACAACAGGCAGGTCAATTACCTCACTCATTGACCTTGGAAGCTTTCACAGTTTAAATAAAACAATGAGGCTTTCAATTAATTTTAAAGTACAAACAGAAAAGGAGCAGCAGAACCGCAAACCTCTTCAAGTTGATATTGCATAGATGGGTCACTTAAAAATCTCCTCATTTTGTACTATATAAAGTAAATCCCTTGATAAAACTTCTTTCTTTCTCATGCATCTCTATCACTAGAAATGTTGAAACCTTTGCGAATAAATCATATGCATGTCACTTATCAAAAGCAAGCAAGATGGGAGTTCATGTATTACTTTTTTTGTCCCACTTTTCTTCATGATTGATTCTGCACGTATTTCTCTACCTCTCTCCCTGTTTCATCTTCACTTTCTCAAGACTTTTCCCTTCCTCTTTTTTCTTCACTATTTTCTCTGTTCCATTGCTATCTGTAAAACTTGCTAGTAATTTATATTTTACAGAACTGGTGTAGCTGCTGTCTTTTCCCATTTCTGCTTGCATCCCTACCCCCATTCATGAGTTGGCATGTCAAGAGATGGTGTTTCTCATCAAGGCCTGGTTCCAGTAGCGCCTGCTAGTGATGATTCAGCACACCAAGGGAGCACTGGACTGCAGGAAACTACAGTGAAGAAAAACGTGGTATGTGCTTTAAAAATGTTCTAAATTGTCCAGTGCTGGAAATCTGATACAAGTGAGAGACACTTTATGAAATTATTCAAATACATTTCAGCTGGTTAATGTCTTTAATCTCTTCATACACATAGGTAAGCTATATATACTGCATTGCAAGTTTTTAAAATTTTACAACAGAGATGCATGTAATATTACATTGTGTACAAGGAACTTATTTTGCTACAAATTATCATAAAAAATCAACCGTTTTTATTTTTCAGTAACTGAAATCCCATGCACCTTCAACGACAAGTTTATCTTAATAAAGAAAGAAGAGTTGTTAAAAAATCTGCCTACAAGCTCTGCTTTAATAAGGATCATAATCTGCTACCCTATTTCTAGTGCTAACTTAGAGTTCTGCCGAAGTTAAGAGGGTCAGCTGTGAAATAAAGGGACAGACAATGTGCATAAAGGTAAACCAATCAAGTTTTAAGTTATTTTGTCTACATCTTGCTTTATGTGAGGATCCAGAAAACAGCTACTGGCAAATAAGCAAGTCTTTGCCGACTTCTTGAAAGTCAGGCAAAAATCCCTACAGTGTACTCTGTGTATTTGGTATCACTTCTAACATATCATTTTTGGAGCCCTTCAGGCTCTCTCCTTCGGTTAGGCCTGACTTGCACAAGCAGCTCAGAAAGATATCAGTAAACCTTTGACATAACGGAAACAAGGAGTAATGAACTCTGAATGAGCAGTTACAACAGGAAAAAAACAATTTAAGATGGTAGCAGGCCTTATTGCAACATTAAACCTCAAATTGGATCTGATTTATATAAAGTAAAACAATACATCGAAATAGTGCCCCAAACTTCTAGACAATAGCTTGAAGGAAAATAATACAGTGCATGTGTGGAAATCCTATCCAAGGTAGCTGAGGAGAGTATTCGTTATACTCCCATTTAACAAACAGGTTCCTTCTGTTTTGAACGGAACATTAAAATTCTAATTCAGCTCATCAGGCATCACAAACAGAGCAGCCAAAGAATGTGTGAAGGAGTCCAAATATGGTGCTACTGAAACAGAGTGGATTAGAGGAATTGGGACAGAATCCTACAAGTGGCTAAATAGCAGCAGGAGATCAGCTTCACAAACAGCGGGAAGCTGTTCTTTCCAGACGTGAGTGACATAATACAGGCAAAACAATTGAGATTTTAGCTGATAAATGTATGCATTAGGAAAAGACCTTGCTGTAGAACTTTTGTACTCAACAAACATTTAGATAAATTCTCCAGATCTAATTTATACTGTAGAGCATTTTGCCTCATATGAACATGCCATGTTAATTATGTAAGACAGAATCCTGTATAACATAAAGACAATAATTTTTAAGAAGTTCAATGCAGGAAACACAAGAGTATTTACTTAAAGATATAGCAAATGGAAAAAGCCAGAAGTTTTTGTAGTTTCACACATCTTCAATTCTGTCCTGGACAATTCTATGTATATCAGCTTAAATATATGTAAAAATATAAAGTAAAAATATATGTATATAAGTATATGTAAAAATATAAGTAGTAGTATAGAGGTTTTAAGGTCCTGAAGGGGACAGTTGCATTTATAAAGATAGGTATTGAGTTATCAAGATAAGACACACTTCATGAAAATAAAAGATCAATGTATCATTGTGATTTCTAAATTGGATGGGATTTTATAAAATCCTAGTTTCATTCTAAAGAATTATTTTCATTAACACTATTTTCAAAATATCTTTTAGAGGCTGAAATTCCTCATACTTTCAGCCTCATACTGTGTGCAATATTTTGAGAAGAATCAGAAAAAAATTTACTCAACTGCTTTTTAGCTAGGCAAGGGTAAAGCATTACGTGTAAAACATTCACATGTCTTCCCCAAATTCTTATCTTCTCTCTATAAAGCATCTCTAGCCTTCTGGACAAATGACTTGAGTAAGATTGAAATAAATTATAATTCTGTTCATGGGTCACGAAAAAGGGTTCCAGCCTGAGTAAGAGGTCACACTTCCCCTTGATTTTTAGGGCATTGTGGACATAAAATAATGGATGGTGGGGTGACTGAAGGAGACCTGGCAGAGAACTAAAGAACAACCACACTGAAGCAGACCACAGGTCCATCCACTCCAGCACCTTTTCTCCAGTGGTGGCTCCTGGTATAGTCTCCCAGCTCATGCAACCTTCAAAGCACACATTTTATGCATTGCAGGCAATATCTCAGTGTCTAAGAGCCCCTAATGCATTTTCTCTTCCATTAATTCATCAAATCAGTTTTTGAACTTGTATGAACTTCAGTACTCACAGCATCATGTGGCAAGAAGTTCCATAGATGAACTGCACATTATAGAAAGAAATACCCTATCCCCTTCCCCCTCTTTTTTTAACTCATTAACTGCTAATTTGATCTGATGCTCAGACTGATTGCACTGAGTGACAGTGATTAGTTGTTTTGAATTCAGTTCTTCATAAGAGATAGCATTCTGCTCTCTGGAAACTCACAGATGTTTAGTTAAACCTTGTTAGCTGTTCAGCTATCAATTATACAGTTGTCTGTTTTCATTTAGAAATCAGTTTAAGAAGCTGTGGTTCCTTTCAGAACATAAGCTATTGTGGTAAGGAGGCAGGACTGAGAAAAGGTCAACCAGAAGAAAAAAGGCACAGAGTTTCCCCGCATGTCATTTGAGCTGAACCTCTAACCTGGGCAGCCACATAAGAACAGTAGGACACTTGAAGGAGACACCTGAAGGCTGCATACTCTGAGCCCTCCCTCAGCACATGACCAGAAGTTCACCTGCCATCTGATCACAAAGCTGGCATTTCCCATCACATGCTTCAGTGAGGGAACATGACAGACGATGATGTTTTGATCATTAAATGGAAATGGGAATAGCTATACAGTCATTTCAAGGGGAGAGA